TCTCCAGAGGCCCACGCTGTGGGTGGGAGTCGCTCGTGACCTCTCTTCCAGCGGCCCTCCATGATGAGTCGAAAGGATGGAAGGCAGAGACCTTAGGTCACGCCGCGGGGCGAGACGCGGAATGTGGCGCTAGAAAGTGGGAGGCCAGTTTGTGGTAGCAGGAGCCGAAGGCCTTGCCCAAGGCCGCCTGAGGAGGGCCAGCTGTCTGTCTGGTGATTTGGTGCCAGGTTAGAACGGTGGGCGGGAGTTGGGCAGCGTTCTCCTTATGTGACCCTATGGACGTGCACAAACGTGTGCACCGCGCGCGGACTTGTATAAAGCGCTCCTCTGAGCCCGCTCTGTCTCCGGCCTGCCTCAGGAGAAGAAGAAGCCCTCACAGCTGACCCTTCAGCGGGTCTTCGACGACGACGACGACGAGGACTCCTCTGAAACAGACTCGGATGAGGATGAGGATGACGAGGAGCACGGAGCCCCTCTGGAAGGGTGAGGGGAAAGACCCCCTGCTTTTGCCACCCGAGCTACGGGGACGCGCGCTTCCTTCGAAACCCCGGGCTGAGCGGGTCTCACTGGGAAGCGAAATTCCGGCTTCTCTGTTGCCCTCGAGGGAGGGTTTTCAGAGGATGATTCTCCTCGCTCCCAAGCACTGGCAGCCTGGGGAGAGCGTGCAGTTCCCCGAGGAACCGGGACGAGTAAACTGACGTGTCTTGCCCTTCGGCGTGGTGGGCAGGGACACAGCAGGGACACAGCAGCCATGCCAAGCAGTCAGCCGGAGCCTTGACGTCTTCTCTGGACAGGCAGAGAAGGGCGTCAGGAGCCCCCCGGAAGCAGAATGTTACCAGATGAGTGCACACCCTGGAAGAGCTGGCCCCTGGACAGGGGAGGAGGGAGAGGGGAGGGATGGCGTCGGAGGCAGCGGCCTGAGTGACGCGCACCGCGGTAGAGAAGGCTGTCCTGGTGTGCATGGGTCAGTGATTACAGCACAGAGCTGTGCCCAGGAACAGGTGTACCAAAAGAGTTTCCTATCCTGTGCCAGCCTTAGTGCCAGATAGTCACAACCCAGCTCCAGGTTTTAATTGGAATGGGTTTTAAGGCCCAATCATTTGAAATCCGTTGCTGGTTAAATGACTGAGGCCCAGCCAACCATGGAATTCTGTCCACTCAGTGGAAGTCAGAGGCAGCTCTTTATGATGAGCAAAGATCAATCTCTAGGAAACATGGGCAAAGTTTTCAAAAGGTATGCAAGGGTATGTGTGCTGTGCGAAGCTTACACAACTTGTGGGAACTTTCTCTGAAAGAGGCTTGGCACCCTGGACAGCAGGCACCTTTGGGCAGAGAAGTGTGGCAAAGGCACAGGGTGGGGAGGGGACTCAACCTTTCAATCTATATGTTTTCGTGCTGGCTGCCTTATACCCTGTGCATGCATCATCCATTAAATTAAGCAGCTGAGTAAACATAAAAAATACTTGCATTTTTATGATCCTTAAAAGGCATCAGGCAAAAATGTAACCTCCCAACTGATTCCTCATGCTTCCCAACTCCTTGATCACATCTTACTTCCATAAATGATGTTCTAGGGAAATGTAAGGTTAAGTCTTTAATTTTTTATTAACACCCTTCAAAGAATCTGGTTAGTTAATCCTCCAACTCAAAGATTCTGCCAGCATTCATGATATCTTTCTTGTTAATTAATCTCCTGTTGTTTCTTTTAGTAAAGTGTACATTTTCATCTCTCAGTATAACTCAGGTAACTTTTAGTAACGAGGTAGTCTTACATAAGAAGCCCCGGGGCCCCATCCATCGGGTGAGCATGGGTGCCTAATGCACGGTGGGTGGAGACAAAGAAGAGGCTGTCTACTCTCGTAACGATTTACAGCCTTGGAAACCCGAAGTCGGGCCACCGTGAGTCGGCATTGACTTGAGAGCAGTGGCGGAAACATGCAACAGTTGGCGTAGCTGTGAAAATTTAGCCTCGGGAGCCCTGGGAATCAGACACGACTCAGTGGCAATGAATTTATGTTGTATTCATTTTGATATGCCTACCCATCTCCCTGGTGGTGTGGTGGTTATGAGTTTAACTGCAGTGCACATGGTCAGCAGTTGGAATCCACCAGCAGCTCCTTGGGAGAAAGATTGGGCTTTCTACTTTCCTGGACAGTTTCTGTCTGGGAAACCCACAGCTGGTCCCTCTGGGTCAGCGTCAACTCTATGGCAGTGAGTTTGGTTTGCCGTTTTTTAATCATCTCTCCAATAACGGACATTTCATTTTTATTTTTTCTAATAATAATAATCCTGTTAAAAACATCTTTGGAACAATTACTATTTTCCTGGGGGCACACTGCACCAGAAGTTTAAATGTCTGATGCACCTTCCCTCTTTATTCCCTCATTCACACACAGGGAGTGAGCACGCTGCATTAAAGCCCCAGCCCAGCCGTGCTTTGATGTTGCTTGGCTCTTCCTCTTCATTGTCAGGCCCGATGGAGAGGTCATCCTTTCCTAAGTTGCTTCGGAGACCTCCAAAGAAGATTGGTTGGGAAGGAGGTAGAAGCTGGGTTCCGTGTGTCGTGACCCTGAGGTGAAGCCAGAGTAAGACTCTGATGTTTGCCCTTGTCTGGCCACCTGGACTGGGCTCTTCCCTCCCCAGGGCCTACGATCCTGCAGATTATGAGCATCTGCCCGTTTCGGCCGAGATTAAGGAGCTCTTCCAGTACATCAGTAGGTAAGTGGCTGGAGCCTCCCACTCCCCCCGCTGTGCCCCAGCTCTTCCCACCTTCTACTCGGAGAGCAGCGTGTCTCCCCGAGTGAGAGCGCCGTTTTCTCTGACCGGCACTACCCCATAGGTACACACCTCAGCTGATTGACCTGGACCACAAACTGAAGCCGTTCATTCCTGACTTTATCCCGGCTGTGGGGGACATCGATGCCTTTTTAAAGGTACAGCCAACAACAGCTTTAAAAAATGACGCCTGAGCTGTTTCCTCTGACGGCATTAACTTCCATGACTTGCATTGGCTGCTGCTGTTAGATACAGCCAGTCAGCGCCAGGTCACAGGGACCCTATGCACCATAGAAAGCCCTGCGCTGGCCTCACCATTGTTGCTGCATTTGGTTTGAGCCCATCGTTGCAGCCCCCGTGTCAGTCCATCTCCTTCCGGGCCTTGCTCCTTTCCGCTGACCCTCTATTTTAGCCAAGCATGATGTCCTCCTGATCACATGTCCAAAGTAGATGAGACAAAGCCAGCTTTGCTCCTAAGGAGCGTTCTGGCTGTACTTTTTGTCTAATCATTTTATTGGGGGCTCGTACAACTCTTATCACAATCCGTCCATCCATCCATTGTGTCAAACACATTTGTACATTTGTTGCCATCATCGTTCTCAAACATTTGCCTTCTGCTTGAGCCCTTGGCGTCAGCTCCTCATTTTCCCCTCGGTACCTGTACGACATGTCTTCTCCCTGCCCTGCCGGGTCACCGTGACGCACTGGCAGAGGCATCCCTCGCAGGTCTCCACCGTTTTCCTCCTGCCTTTCTGACCTCTCCCTTAATCAGGTCCCACGTCCTGATGGAAAGCCGGACAACCTCGGCCTGTTGGTATTGGATGAGCCGTCCACAAAGCAGTCAGATCCTACTGTGCTCTCCCTCTGGTTAACAGAGAACTCCAAGCAGCACAATGTGACGGTAAGAGACTAGCGTAGCACAGGTCCCAGCCTGAGTGGGATGAGAACAGGGCCTTACCAGCACTTCCAGCCCCAATTGCAAGCCCCCTGCCATCGAATCGAACTGACCGGGCAGAGTAGAGCTGCCCTTTTGGGTTTTCGAGGCTATAAAGCTTACAAGGGCAGAAAGCCTCGTCTTTTTCCTGAGGAGTGGCTGGTGGGTTCAAACTACTGACTTTTTGGTTAGCAGCCCAACGTCTCACCCACTCCACCACCAGGGCTCCTTCAAGTTGGCTTAGTGTCCATCAAAAGGGGTGGCTGTGATCTCAGTCCAGTCCTGGTTTTTGGTGCTGACACTTAACACGGTCAGGTTTGACCTTTTGAGTCCGCCCAGAGGCCTCTTAGAGGAAAGCCCTGGTGGCTTGCTTTGCAAATGCCACCCACTGATATGCTGACACACCTGGGATCGCCACCTGTTGGGTCGACTCAGGGTCGGTGTGGTTTTTTAACGGTTCCAGTCCGTTTTATAGCAGCTCTCTTGAGGCATCATTTATATGCCATCAACTCCGCCATTCTGAAGTATGCAGTGGAGTGGCTTTAGTGTGTTCACGGCGTCGTGCAGCCGTCCCCTCTGTGTAAGGACATTTTCGTTGCTCCTCTAGACCCCCACCCCCTCCATCAGTTGTCACGCCCTGTGTCCCACTATCCCAACCCCAGCAACTACTCCGTTCCTTTTTAGGACCCAGTCAGACTGCGCGCATTGTCATTTCTCTTCAGTAGGTGTGTTGCAGGAGCCCTGGTGGGGTAGTGGTTCCGAGTGGGGCTGCGATCGCACAGTCGGCAGTTCGAAACCACCAGCAGCTCCTCGGGAGGAAGACTGGGCCTTCTACTCCCGTCAACAGTGATAGTCCCTCTGACCCACAGGGTCCCCCTGGTAGTCACAGTCCCACTGATCCACAGGGTCCCCCTGGCAGTGATAGTCCCACTGACTGACCCACAGGGGTCCCCCTGGCAGTGATAGTCCCACTGACTGACCCACAGGGT